AGAAATTATATAGTGAAGTCTACAAGATAAATGAAAATGCATGTGTGCATAATATTTGCATAAATATAAAAACTAAATTCTTGACTTTGGAAGTAGTAGTTTGACAAAAAAAAGTCTTAAAAAAAGACCAAAAACCTGAGCTCAAAGTCCACTTACAAGCTTTTATTTTGGAAATGTCAAGCCGTCTCTATGACAACTGAGCAAACTCCACTTGTGAGAAGGCCATGAGAGGCTGTTGAAAGCTCTGAAAAAAGACCTTGAAAGTGGATGAACCAGATTTCTCTAACGTGGCTAAATGATGCTTAGAGGTAGTATGTGTATTCACGTCATAAACTTATTGTAACTTAATTGTAATTTTAAAAGACTCGTGAAAATTCACTTGGATGGATGCACATCATCACATTTTTCTATACGTTTGTGGATGTGTCTACATTTGCCCATTACCTATTTTCAGTGGAGCAGAAGAATGTCACCCAAGGGTTGAGGACATTGTTGTCCGAGGAAGGAGGCAAGTACATGGCCTCAGAAAAGCAGGTGAGTAACAGTCTCAGCAACTCTGTCCTGAAGAGGATCATGCGAAAAAGCACGGAGGTGGATAGGGGGGGGGAAAAGTCAGTCCCACGTAAAAATGAGAGAGTAAAGACTGTGATACAGATGTTTCTGAGCACACAGCCGGCCGACTCACCTATTCAGGTCATGGATGTAGTTGAGAGGGGGGGACTGTGCAAAGCCCACCCCTGCCTCCCAGATGTATTCACAGCTGTCTATAGAGTGCATGCTCTCTACAGAGTCCTGGAGGTGGTCACAAAAAACTTTCATAAATCATGGTATTCCATTCAAAGAGCAGGATTAACATACATTTTAGGTTGTTTGCTGCATTCTGAGAGTTTTCTGATCTGCCTGAAGAATAGGAAAACATCATGTTGATAGTACAGCAACTATTATTAGGTTTTGATTAAGATTAGGCAAATGACACCTCAGGTAAGGTTATGGAAAAATTGCTACCATGGTTAAATGGAAACTAAGAAAGGGGATGCCGGTGTCAAAGGCTTTGTCCAAAACCACAGCCTTGCACAACCTTACATTTCTCCTTATTTACACATTTCTTCCTGCTTAGGAGTATCAGTAAACATAGTTTGTTTTAAAAAACAAACCAGTGCTGTAATTTTTCTGAAAAGGACATAACACTTTCCTAACCTTCCCTTAACGGCTGTATTTTGAGCACATTTTCCACGATGCAGTTATTTTCCATGTTGCAGTTTAGGGAGGAAATAATAGTAGAAATGGTGATGGTGAAATGATAAGAACTGGCTACGACAGTATTTCAGGGAAGTTAATACCCCCAAAGAGCATTCACTGTAAGCTGCAAAGTTGCAATCTGCCGTGCAACATTCCTTTCCTGCTCATGAGGGACAAGGAATTCTTCTTGGTCAGACTGGCAGTGTTTCAGTAAGCATGATCTCCTCCTATGTTCTCTCTTCAGAGAAACTTGCGTGACAAAGACGTGGGGCAGTTCAACAAGGAAGAAGGAAACAGTGTAACCTTCAAAACAGATCACGTTAACCATTTTCCAGCTATTTCCGTGATGTGTCAGAAGTAACTAATTTTGCTGGATAGTGATGAAATGACAAACTTGCTCACTCACGGGGCCTCTCTTATGGCTGTGCACGGTAAAGTCAGGGCAGAAGAGCAGGTCAGCGATAGCCAGGAGCAGCGACTCAGCCAATGGTCGAGCGCCGTCATCATCATCCAGCTCATCTGTCTGGAAGGGATGGACAAATGTGTGAAGCTAGATCCAGATGATGACCATTATTCTCTACCATTCATTGAATGGCTTTTGTAAATGGTAAAATAGAAAAAAGTTCATGGTTTGGAAGAAATGGTTGAGAGTACAGCTGAAATTACCTTGCAGTGTATGGAAGGAGGAAACCAATGTAACTGATATACTAAGTGTGGGGGATTTGTACTCATGATAAAAACATACATAACCCCAATAATTTTATTATACTTATTCTTAGAGCCCTGATGAGATAATTGTATTTTTGTAACCAATCGATCATATTTTAATTATCAAACAACAACATCTTGTCTTCAAATGTGCAAATGACAGTGACACTGTCTGATAAAAAGTGTCAAGAGTGATTAAAAGATCTGTCTTCACTCACCCCAGCCCGCCCAGCACCAGGCACCGTTGACCAGAAGAATCCTCTCCAGTCCTGGTCCTCGAAGATGTACGGAAGGATGCGAGTCAGGATGCGAGTGCAGTTCAGGATCACCTGCTTCTCCCTCTCTGTGGGGCAACCAGACTCTGCACCCTGCACCAGTTTCTCCACGGCCTGAGGTGACAAAAAACGGGATCAGGAGTTACACGAGAGCGAGTATGTGGGTTATGGACACAGCTACTGAGCCAGGCACACTTTTTGATAATTTTACTTCATACGGAAAAGCTTAATATAGTTTTTTTTAATTCAATTTTAATAATACAATTTTTTTTTTCTTGCTGTTAGTGCTTAGTCAGTTAATGAGGCATTACCCAGTCAACCAGCATAGTACCATAAGAAACATCTTAGTTTCTTGTTCCATTCAAAATCCCAGCAACATCAAATTCTTTGTAAATACAAATGATTTGATGGGCTGCTCTGCTGGGCAGTGAGGAAAAACCTTTGAGCTTACACTTAATATATACATAATATGTCTCTTTTACTGTGCCATCAATTGGATGGATAATGATGAATGAACAGTTTCAACAACAAAATGCAACATCTCATACACTGTTCATTAAAGTCTGTGTATCCTTAATATAATTTGCAATTGGAAGTACACTAGATATGTACAGTTTGTACATATTTTGACTGTGAGATGGGGACATATGTAGTTCTTTTGGACATTTAACAACAAAATGATTTGATGATCTACATTTACTCCAACAGCATGCTGCAGCCTGTGTCTAAAATAGGCAGAAACCCCTTTGAATCAGCTCAGCTTCAAGGGCTCTCGTCTCCTCCTCTTTATTTAATTAGGCTGTAAGTACCCAGTATGTCTGTTTTGTTTCTGATAGGCAGCTTCAAACGGAAGCTGGGACAGAGAGACGGGAAGCAAAGGGAAAGGAAGGGGAGTTGGCTATTTTATTCCCACATCTGAGAGCATGAGGCAGTGCCTTGCTGACAGACTGTGCCAAGCTCTAACAAACAACATTATTCCATGATGTAGCCACAACGCAAGGGACGGCCCCATGCAATCTCATCTCATAAACAGGTTTGCATAACACAGATGCATGAACAGTTCATACATACCTTATAGCAGAGGGTTGCTAAATTTGAGGGGGACTCCTCTCGAACAGCTCTTATCTCTGCAGCTGGCACCAGTGCAAAAACATCCTGGACTGTGGTGGTGGCATCTGCCCAGAACTGGTCCCAGAATGCATCGTCTGTGGCTTCCACTGGCTGTAGAAAATATGTTTACATATCAGTCCCCATATATCTGAGCCAAATGGAGCATTTTATGTTTGTGAGAGTTGAAATACAATAGCCTGATTGATCTTGCAGTGCATTAAAATATATTTTCATCATAATACTTATACACTTATCCAAGGCCTACCTAGCTAATGGCAAAGTAAACACAACCTCTATTCAAGCAAGAGTGAGGGAGCATTATCTGGCACTCTGATCTAAGCACAGTCCACCTGCCGCATCTGCAAACGTGGTCATTTCCAGACCTACGTCATCACCTTTGATTTAACTACGCCACCGTTCATCTTCTCAAAACTAAACATGTACAGCCTTAATTAAGGTTCGTGGTAATCTGCATCGCAAATTCGACCATAATTTTCAGGCGTTTAGTCTTTGTACACCAACCTTATATAAACATTTCGATTATGTAAAATAGGCCTAAATGAATGCAACAACATGCAACACAAAAATGTTTGTCTTCTGCTCCCACATTAAACGCTTTTCTCATCTCCTCGGTGATGTTCTCCGGTGCGCACATCGGCACAGTATCTCCCCTTTCAATCCTTTGATGAGCTGTATGGAAGCACAAATAGGCCTACCTGTGTTTTGGTTGTCAGCTGAATCACTGCTTTCCTGAAGTTCAGTTTTGAGTCGGTGCTGCCCATTGTGATTATTTCCCTTTATAATAACAGGACCGCTGCTGCTGAGAATCCCTGTTAATCTCAACCCCGTCCTTCGCTTGAGTCATTGGCGGAGGCGTTTTTTTACTCTATTGGCTGGCTGGAAATACTGCGCTACAGGGTGTCACTTCCGGGTTGTGAAGATGTCAACCACTTAGTCGGATTGAATGTTTTGTTTACAGCATTTCAACTGTTATATATAAGCCTATATTCACACACAAAAACTCTAATGTCCTGGAAATTGTTCAATACTATAGCCTAAATAGCTATAAATTGGTTATATGATGAGCTGGGCTGCAGCTCATGTTAAATAGTAGATGATTTTTATTGAAGGCACAGTTCGGTATTATTCGGTCTTATTTAACGGATCTGGTTCAACCCCTAAAACAGTAGGGCTGCATCAGTTTTATTGTAAACAGCGACATATTTATGGGAGGGGGGTAATATCAGACCATAAACCAATATTTGCCGATTGGATACCAATTGCATTTTTATAGCAGAAACAAATTAATCTCACGGGGTTTATCTAACTTCAATGAATCAATAATAACAGCTTTCTTTCACTGCACTCATAGAATGTGCGCCAGTGTTATTTTATGCTGCCTTTGAGTGCTCGTAAGCTTCTACTTTAATTTCGAAATTAGCTTGTCTATTTAACAAACGTGTAATCTAATAAAACCTGTTATATAGTTCACGTTGTCAGTTGCCTCCTTTGCCATCCTGACTACCGCGCTCACTACACTTTACATCTGTGATGCCACTGAAAACTGTACTCTGATTCTCCAACTAGCTCTTGACAGCACCATGACTGGTCTTCGCGCAGCCGCAGTACCATGTAAACACAACTGCCGCGGTTGGCTGTGGTGATAGCTGTTCCTGTTATAGCTGGCTAGCTAGATTGAACTAAAGGAGCTGTAATATTTCTCGGGCTCTGGCATTGAGTTTGTTATCCTAGAAACAAAGCGATTTTTCTGCAATATGTGCTGTGGTTAGCTATTTAACAACATCAACTAAGAAGGTTAGCTAGCGTTAGACTGTCTTGTTAACTAAAGTAACGTTAGCTAGCTTAACGCTAGCTCGTTAACGCCCGGTCTTTATACAATTTAATAGCCAATCATCTAAAGTTTAACGTTATGTGTAGTTAATTATATCCGATTCGTTTTTTAGCGTTGCCAAAATGGCTCAGAGTATCACACCAATATTCAACATAATCAGCTAGCAAGGCGAGGTTAGTTTGCTAACTCAGGTGATATCCGTTAGGCCATCGACTGACGGGAAACAAGCTAACTTACGCTAACAAGTCGATAACGTCAACCACCCGGGTCCTCCAGTCTGTTCCGAACAAATTCAAAGGAAACTCTTCGAGATTTATTTAGTGCCATCATATGTTGACTGAAAACAGGTGAGCGAGGCCTACAATAATTTATTTAACGTGAACTGATTAAATGTTACTTGAAACAAGTGTAGTAACGCCACTGTGGCCTTCAATACCACCACTGACAGCAGCCATTTAAACAATGTCGGTCACTCGTGTATGCTAACAAATGATCGGGGTTCACACATGCGAGCAGCAGTTGTTCGTGCGTGGGTGACAGCAACGATATAGTGTGTGGTTTAAATGTCTTTGTAACGTATATTCATTTCATCCAAACAGGAAACGGCAGCGCAGTGGTGGTGATGAGGAGAGTGGCCACCTGGTGCCCCAAGCCAAAAGGCAGAGCAGAGCTCATCCGCTGTCTCCTGAACCAGGCCGGGATGCCTGGGACTCTGAGGTACAAATACCTGTCAAGGGAAACGTCTTTACACTGAAGAAACTGTAACAGATGCTAGGCTAGTAATTGTCCTTGACTAACTTTTAACTAGCAATAGTTTGTAGATGTTAGGTGGATACCTGCAGTTTGGTTCACTTTGTCTAAACCAAAAACAAAAGAGACATAAGGAAAATATTAATTGTTGCCTAAGTAGTTGTAGCGCTTTCCTGTTCAGACATAGTTTTCACACTTAAAATCTAGTGACATACCGAAAGCCATGGGGCGGCATTATCTCAGTCTGTGAGGACGTAGCTTGGGAACCGGTGGGTCGCCGGCACGAACCATTCTCGAAGGTGCTCCTGAGCAGAGAGGGGGTTGTAGCCAATTCTGTGGTCTGGTCGCTGCCACACCGACCACTGGTCGCTACCACAGTCGCTCTCCTTTCTGTTCCTTGTCACACAAACTGTGGCTGTATTAAAATAAGGTCAGTTTCAAGTTTTTATACAGTCTATGGTTCCAAAGTAGACCTAAAGTAACCTTAGATCATTTAAATTATCTCAACTGGCAGATGATACAATTTTTTTTGTCTAATAGAGAGGAATGGATCAAAGCAATTTTCTACTGTATCAGGCTTAAGAATGAACTTGAACAAATCTGTTTATTATTTACATTAAAAACATAAACAGACTTAAATGAGCATACTTTCCTAATAAACTACCTTACACTGCGCACGGCATGACTGACAGGATGGCTGCACTTCTCCACCATCAGCCACTATCGTGCTCACAGTTTTGAACAAACAGGTTAAGGCCGCGACCAGCGAACATGAAACTAGAATTAGACTCTGTATTGACTGCTGCTTATTTGTTTAGCATTATTGGCTTTTTGATGCATCCTCCAATTAGTACAGCGCTACATATGATAATATGCTTGCTATTGTGTGCCGGCGTCCATCAGTGCATAAAATAATAACACTTAAATATTATACCTACCATAAAGGGCAAAATTGTGTCTCTCCTTGAGCAATAGGCTTTGGTGGCATTTTTCACGCTATTGAAACTCAAACTTTGTTGCAATATCGCAGACATCAGGGGCAAGTAGTGGACTGCTGTGTGTGTGTTTGTGCGTGTGGGCATGAGATGAGGCTCCACACTGCTGCCACACTGGTCGGTGTGGTCGCTGTCACTTGGGGCGCCAAAGACGGTGGTCGCTGCCACACTGACCACTGGTTGCAGTTGGTTATATCTACTGTAATACATCTTTATCATAATTCTTTGTTAAAATATTATGGATTATACCTACTCTTATTGTTGCACTATATATTGCAATTTGTGTGGTTATACCTACAGTAATAGCCTACACCTATCTATCTTTAGTCCTTGCCTATAACAAGGCCTGTGTTATTATAGTGTGTGTATGTACATCTTTCTATATCACAATACTTTGTAAAATATACTCTTATATCTTATTAATGCACTGTAGGCGTACAGTATATTGCAGTTTGTGTGGTTGTAGCCAATCTACAGTAGGCTACATCTATCTAGATCACAATACTTTGATAAATATAGCCTACAATATTATCGATTATGCCTATATTCTTATTGGTGCACTGTATATTGCAGTTTGTGTGGTTAACCTGCAGTAATAAATCTCTCTATCTTTGGTTCTTGCCTACAAGAAGAAGGCCAGTGTTGTCACCTGTGAAGGAAAGTGTGGTGACCACTTGTTGGCTAGACTGATTTTAACAATAAGAATATAGTTAATCAAAAATTAGTAGGCTATATTTAACAAAGTATTATGATCTAGATATATTTGTTACTGTAGATAGGCTATAACCACACAAACCGCAATATATATTGCAACAATAAGAGTAGGCATAATCGATAACATAGTATATTTAACAAAGAATTATGATAAAGATGTATTACATAGTAGATACAACCAACTGCAACCAGTGGTCAGTGTGGCAGCGACCACTATCTTTAGCGCCCCTAGTGGCAGCGATCACACCGACCAGTGTGGCAGCAGTGGTCTGTGTGGCAGCAACCCAAGACTGTGGAGCCTCATCTCATGCCCTCTCTCGCCAAATTAAAAGATTAAGTCTGGTTCGCCATGTCTTCTTCATACTTTGGTGTTTTTGAATTGAATAAAGGCAACCATGCGAATAAAATACTATCTATTCATTTCCAGGCCATTTTATCAACTTAGTTAGCCATTTAACCTGGAAAGTATTGTTTAAGGTTTCAAAACTTAAAACCTCCAGATCTCAATTTTTTATGTTGCATAGGGTATCTTTCCCTAAATGACGTTTGTTCCTCCAAATGAAATTAAATAAGATCTTATCTAATTCTTTGTATATTTCAGTAGGCATTTCCAATGATAAGGATACATAGATATGGATATTCCCTCAGTATTAGATAGTAGAACTCTACCAGTCAGTGAAAGATGCCTCATCCACCACATGTTGAACCTTTTTCATTATTTGTTTAATCATAGGGCTGAAGTTTAGGTTATTGCAGAGTTTTTCATTCTTATCACACCCAGGTATGTAACTGGGTTCTTCACAGGGATACCATTAACTTCTGATAGTTCACATTCCTTAAGTGATAGCCTAATAAACAGATTTGTTCAAGTTCATTCTTAAGCCTGATATGGTAGAAAATTCCTCAACACATCTAATTGCTTTGATCCATTCCTCTCTATTAGACAAAAAAATTGTATCATCTGCCAGTTGAGATAATTTAAATGATCTAAGGTCACTTTAGGTCTACTTTGGAACCATAGACTGTATAAAAACTTGAAACTGACCTTTTTTAATACAGCCACAGTTTGTGTGACAAGGAACAGAAATGAGCCTTCCCTTAGAGACTGGTAGCAACCAGTGGTCGGTGTGGCAGCAACCAGACCACATATTTGGCTACAACCCCTGCTGCCTGAGCAAGGCACTGAGCCCCCAATTGCTCCCCAGGCGCCGTACAATGGCAGCCCACTGCTCCTAATTAGGATGGGTTAAATTCACTTTTATTTATATAGCGCCAAATCACAACAACAGTTATCTCACAGCGCTTTTCATAAAAGAGCAGGTCTAGACCGTACTCTATGATGCTATTTACAGAAGCCCAACAATTCCCACCAAGAGCAAGCACTAGGCGACAGAGGCAAGGAAATACTTCCTTTTAAGAGGCAGAAACCTCGAGCAGAACCATGGCTCAGGGTGGGCGGCCATCTGCCTCAACCGGTTGAGAGAGAGGGAGAGGGAAACAGGGAGAGAGAGGGAAACAGAGAGAGAGAGAGAGAGGGGGGGGGGGGGGGGGGGAGGGAGGCAGCCTACATAATATACACACACAGCTGTACAGACGATAAAGGTGATGTTGCTATAGACTAAATGAAAAATGGTACAGATATGTATAGTAGTGTTAATGATGATAATCGTAATGTTAATGATTATAATAACAAGAGGACTAGTAACAATAGTTGTTGCAGCAGAGGGTGTCGAGCAGGAACACGGGGGGCAGCAGGTGACCCGCAGCCACAGATCCAGACTCCACAGCTCCAGAGCCAGAAACACCTGCAGGAAGTGATAGGAGGAGAGAGGAGAGGGACGAAAAAGCACAAGAGTACCGGAAAGGGGAGAAGTTGTGTTAGTAACATGCAATAATGGGATGAGGTTGCATACAGAGGGTGAGAAGGTAAAGGAGAGAGGAGCTCAGTGCATCATAGGAAATCCCCCCGGCAGTCTAGGCCTATAGCAGCATAACTAAGGGATGGTTCAGGACTCACCTGAGCCAGCCCTAACTATAAGCTTTATCAAAGAGGAAAGTCTTCAGCGTACTCTTAAATGTGGAGATGGTGTCTGCCTCCTAAATGCAGAGAACACAAGTCCCCTTCCCCCTCCTTTTTAAAAAATTCCTCCACGGGAATCAATAAAATACTCTTGATTCTGATGTAACGCAATTATATAGCGCTTTATCATTGAAACTCAAAGCTCCTTAGAGTGAAGTGGGGAGGAAACAATAAATCCCATGTACAACATACACTCTTTTTAACACAAACATTTGAACATAAAACAACTAACAAATGTGAAAGTTGTCAGAGGATGTCGCTATCTTTCACATGTTGGATCTCCAGTACCTTCGGTACCTAGCAAAATGAATACCAACATGTCTTCAGAATGTTAGTATCGACTTGATTCGGAAGTATTGGTTCTCATGACATCCATATAGTTCGGAGATCGATTTCATTCCAGGTTTCACTATCAACAGATGGATTTAATAGTGGATTAGATTTTGAATTGATGCCCAAAATACTATCTATATTGCAAAATCCTGTGGTTGGTTTGCTTTGCACCACAAACAAACCAGCATAAACAACTAATCAAGAAGGGAAAAAGCACCAGTTTGTTTGAACTGTACCAGATGTTCATGTTAGGCTAGCCCTCTGCTAACGTTGACATCTGCATTTCAGTCATCCAACAGTGAGAGCAGCAGCAGCATCAGCAGCCCAGAACACTCAGCTGGGAGCTGTAGCAGTCAGTGTGCTACGGGTCCCTGCAGTCCACTCGGCTCTAGTGACTCCTCAGAACTGGCTGGCCCTACAGACCTGGTGTCCTACCTGCAGATCAACCGCATCCTGAGGCAGGCCCACTTCCAGAGCCTGCAGTGCCGTGGTCACCTCAGAGACACATGACGACCTGAAGGTCTTTCTGTCAGCCTCGAGGCATGTCAGATCATCACATGCTGATTCACTTCACTCAGCTCTTCCCACCCATTTCCAGTTACTGTGGTATCACACAGATCTACATATCTGTGAATGGAAACCAGGTCCTGGCCAGGTATCTGGAGGGGGTTCATCTTTCAAATAAATCAAAATGATAATCAATTTAGCAATAATAACTGTGTGATCAACTTAAACATTTTTTGTGATCCACTTGATTTCTGACCAGTCTGGTTTACATGCTGCTCTCAGAGCCATATTGTGACTGATAGATGATGATGAATCCCTGTGTTTTGTCTTAAATGTTGTATGAAAACAGTGCTACTGTAGCTGCAGAAATGGCACCAATCACAATTTTAGGCCGGTCAGTTTGACCTGTTTAGTCTCCTAGTTGGGTACTTGGGCTGTATGCTGAATCTGTTGTCTGTGTAAGTACATGGACCAGTCTCAGGGAGGATTTGCACTTGTCTTGGACTGCTCATTTGCTTTCATATTCAGACGGGGACCTGTAGAAGCCATGGGTGTTAACTTAGCAAAGGAAGTTATGTTTTCTGTCCTTTAGTTGGTAGAGTATTTAAAAAATCTTTTCAATAGATTTAAGTTAAATGTAGTGGAGGGTCGGGCCATGGATTTGGTTTTAGTGCGGATTACAATTTCTTTTTATTTTTCTCATCACAGCAAGACAGGGAATTTTGAGCACTTTTGCTATTTTTCCATCAACTACTGCATGTACTTGGGTTTACATTGATCTCATATTTAATTACTAGTCCGGTGAGTTTATTGTTCCTGGTGCAGAAGAAACATAGATGATTATTAAAATATTGTGCAGCCATGGCAGTGCTATGCAAAGGTGTTGCTTTCTAGCTATTATTTTTATGTTTTATTTTCTCCTGATCATGTAATTGACTAATTATTTCATGATCCTATATGACATCCCTTGGTGATCTTGACACAACCCATCCTGTCTTGTCATGATCATTAAATAATTATGCTGGAGATTGTGACATGGGAATAATCCTCTATAATTAGCAGCATTGCCACATCAGAATTCAACACTGTTATTATAAACTGATGCAACTACAACCAAAGGAAGAGTCCATTTAGTATCACTATGCTAGTCCTCTTTAGAGAGTGACGGCACCTGTGGTTATTTAACAATGAACACAAAGTAATAACTGTCAATTATAGATCAGACTAGTTAAGGAGTTACGGTTATTTTTGTTTTCTTGTGATCGTGGAAAAATATGGTGGTCATAACATGACGAGCTTCTCATGACCACAAAGAGAAACCAAAACAAAAGTTACACCCATGCACTCTACAACCTTTCATACTCTTAGACTTTCTCAGTCTTTTATTTTATAGAGGGACTGTTTATGTGGCATTTGAGCATGTAGGAAAACATAGTTATTTCTGTCTAGAGGGGGGCTACAATACAGCCTTTAGGAACAAAAAGACATTCCCCAGGCTTTGTGTGCAACATTACTGGAGCCACTAAAATGCTGTTTTTAAATGGCAGACCAGCCTTTCTGCCTGTGCACTACCATTTTATGGTTGCTACACATGTGTCCCTGTGCACTGAACTTCCAGGTACAAGCACTGACCGTAAGGCTGTGCGTCTCCTTTTCATGAAGCAGGATCAGTTTCATTCTTGAGCCCTCATCCCAGCAGTCAGCTCAGCTGTGTATTTTTTTTAAAACAATTTTTTTTTCAACTTGGTGTGTCAGAAACAAAAGCATTTTGAAGACGTGGTTTATTTTATTTTTCAATTATATATTTTTTTCTATTTAGTAATGCACATGACATTAACCTTAGCCATTGACTCTTTTTCATGTAAATACCCCTTCATTTAAAAAATAAAATAATGTTTTTGAACAAAGGTATTCCTTTCTCCATTCATTTTTATTCTTTGTTCGTTGGGAAGTGACAGCAGAGTAAAGATTTAAAAATCTATATAATAAATCCCTCACATGGCGATGCTGGGATGATCTACATCTATTCATACTGGTCTAATATGAGGAAATTAGCTTTGCTTGCTATGTGCAAACAGGAATCCCCTCCATCCCCACATCCTCCCCTTTTTCCCTCCAAATGGCCAGTAATGAATGACTCCCCATGCATCGAAACCATCAGTAATGAGATATGACCTGTGTCTTAGCGAGGAGCAGTGGAAGGTTTCTTTAATTAGCACGCTACATGTCCTTGTCTTGTCACAGACGCAGTAACAGATTACATACATTAATGTACCACACGTAACCACGGTTACCTCGCCGGCTATTGTGAGTCCTCATTACTTGCCTCCTTTGATTCCCTCGCTCCACCTTTTATTAAGTTAGAGATGACGAATGAGCCAGTGATAATTCGGGAATGGACATCTTCCTGCATCTCAGGTGCATGCCTTCTCATTATCTTGTATGCAGCTACCAAACATACAGCACAATGACACACAGAGTGGGGCAAGTAATGAGTCGTAAGTGAACTTTTCATCTTAGCATCATCTGAGGTATGCCTCTTTTGAACTGCCTTTTGTATCTTGAAGCAAACATCAAATTAGAGCAAGGAAAGTGCTTTGTAATTAAGGTGGTGAGGATGCAATTAGTAGCAGCGGGGATAAATATTTTCCCAGTGATAATCCAAACTTCTGTGTGAGTAAACATTACTGCATATTAAAGGAATTATGTACCCCGAATTGCTAATTCAGTGAAGTGTCCATAGGGCCCATTTAGGCTTCTTTTTTTTTCTTTTTTTTTTACTATTTATGTTAGTTTACAATACTCTGGTAATATATACACACTGCAGGAGAGATCAGTGTTTACAAAAAGCCTGTGTCAGCAAGGAACATATACAGGATAAATATTGTGTTTTAAGTTTATTTAACAGGGTCCATGTATAATAAAACATTGACTTCAAGCTTGAAACCTGATGCATTTCACAGAGATATAGCTAAACAGCAACTTTTCATCCCCAGTCGCTGGGCAGGTGAGCATTTACACCTACAGTACATTACAAGCCATCATAGGGCATCAAAACCCTTAAATCCTCTTGCACATGCTGTTTAAAATGGCTTCTTTTTGGGGGAGGTGTATAAAAATCAACACTTCACTAGAAAACCATTTGAATTGATTACATGTCATTCGGGGGGTGAAGGGTTGATCAGTGGACGCAGAAAAGAAGTAAAGGGCTTTTATTTTTACTGGACGAAGAGTATAAAACGTTGATACAAGCACAGTATTGTTCAGCATAAATCCTAGCAAAGTGTGTTTTCTGAACAGCAGCTGTCCAGATGTTCATGAAAAGAGCAGCAGAGGGCAGCACACTCTAAGTGTTAGCTGGACGCAAACTGTAGCCCTGCAGTCTGAATCTCATAAATTCTGGGAAATTCTACAACGGTATCAAAACGTGTGGACAACGTAGAAGATATTTATCTTTAATCTGTTTTCACGCACACATACACAAACACACATACACACTCTGTCCTTCCTGGGCAGAGTACAGATATGAAGGTGGGCGGTGATGAATGGCTCATATCAGTTGAGCGGAGAGGCAGGAGAGAGTTAAATGAACTGTCCTTGTTCAGGGGTCTATGTATGCGCATACATTGTTATATTTTTACCGTGGCCAGCGAAAAAATCTGGGTTATTCTATGGTTCCTTTTCTTTGTGTCCTCTCTGATTCCCATCTCTCCTCAAAGGCAAAACCACAGTGAACATCAGCGACACGCAACAAAGACAGACAAGCAGACAAACTACTGTGTCTTTTATATTTATCAGTGTCCAGTTCACCTTTGGCTTCAAAACTTAAAACACAATCTCCTTGAATAATCTAATTTATTTTGAAAACCAGAAAAAGGATGAAACTGGTCACAGGACAGTCCTTCAAGTGAGCAGCTATGGTGTATTCAAAACATAAATGAAGTCATGGCTAAAGGAACATGAAGAAAGAAAGGAAAAGTGAGGTAAAGCTTATCTGGTCACCCTCGCCTGTCTTTGCCAGACTTTGGGCTGAAATGTGTTTGGGCAGCTGTTGCCTAGCATGAGATGGTGATTGGGTTGGCATCACGTATGCTACTTTCCCTCGCCAGCCAACACAAACATCTGCTTTGCCTTCCCCACCACCATTTCGCCCAACATCAAACAACAAAGCTTGCCTGCTCCGCTGCCCCCATGGCCATCCGAAGAATTAATGACCCACCAAACACATTAGCGGTGCCCTATTGCCCCGGCCTGGCTGGAGCAGAGAACGGGGAAAGCTCTGGCAGGCAAACAAGGAGAGGGAAGGGTTAGTGGGTCAGGATGATAAAGTACTTCACAGGTCAGGAATTAAGATGGATAGATATTCAGGTGATCTTGGGATGTTCACTGCATTTTTGCAAGTCCTTTTTTCAACAAGCCTTTATCATTTCCTTTTACAGCCATGTTGACAAATTATACAATCATACAGTATTATTGTTAGAAATTCTGGATTTGTGACAGATTTTTTTGTGCATTGCATCTAAGAGAGTACTACACTTTACCTGGTGGCAGAGCAAGCCAGTTGAATCAAGTTGAGGAGAGAGGTTGTTAAAATACAAAGACAGACAGAAAAGAAAGAAAAGAAACAAAAACTGAGGAGGATCTTCTTCCTTAGCCAGTCACCGCTCCTGTGTATGCTCACTCTTTCCCCAACTGTTGCTGACAGGGGGTGGAGGGGAGGACTGGGTTATCTCACTGACTGTAGCCTAAACATACTGCCCCAATGCAGCTGAGAAACAGTCGTCATTTGCCTAAGCAAAAGAAAACAGCTCGGCCACTCTCTATAGAGCTGTCTGCAGTTTTAATGCTTTGAACGGACTGAACAGAAAAGTAAGATAACCGAAAGGCTCTGCATGCTTGGGTCGGTGTCTCCGCTTTGACTTTATAGGCCTCCCTATTCAATTTCACACAATGTGCTCCGGAGACAATGTACAGTAGACTGTTTTCATTGCAAGTTACAGTCGAGGCCCCCGATCAGTCATGTTCACCCCAAAACATAGAAAGGAAGGCCGTGAGCAGTTTCTTGTCCCACACGCAGGCCACAACTGTTCCTCCTTTTATGGTTGAATGTGAGAATATTCACGCACTCTGGCTTGTATTTGTAAACCGGGATGTTTACATGGTTCGGTTTTGCCCTGTTCAGCTGTCAACACTCACAGGCGTTCAACCCTGAGTGTGCCGGTGAGAAGGAGTGCAATAGTTTAGAGAGTGTCATGCTAAGTGGGACTGGTTTGGGCTGGCTGGGTAGAGTGTGCACTCAGCACACCACCATATAGACCGCTGTTTTCTAAATGGCCCATATTAACTGAATGGGAATAGGCTGGACTCAGACCTGTGTTGTTAGCACAGAGAGGACAGGCTACATGGCTCACACAGCCTGGTGTCGTCTCCACGCGGCTGACCTGCCACACAGCCATGTTTCATCACCGGAGGACTGATGTGGCGCCGCTCACAGCCACCGAGGTGCAATTTGTTGCATGTGGACTATAACTGTCAGGAAGAGATATACCCTCACTTAAATAGCCGCCCATAATCTGCCCCTCTCCCTGTATTATCCTAATTGAACCCATGGGCAGCCAAACGCCATCAATAGCTGAGCTCATCTGCAAATTAATAAAACATGGGCCCTCACCAAATCTATGCTTGTGATAGAGCTTGAAGCTACTTAGACACACTAAAGGACTGAGTGTTTGTGATTGCTATTTTCAAAAGAAATGGAAGCACAATAAAATGTTCTCATTTTTTCTTTCAGCAGTGATGAGCATGCGTCCTTATGGCTCCCGTGGTCCTGCGTGCATTCCCAGTGAGCTTTCTCCTTCCTCCTTCCTCTTCGTAATGGAAATGCTTATTAAAACCATCAAACACCATTTACCTAAACACGCCTTTGCAAGCAGTAGTGTGGTGGCGTTCTTTCAGTGGCTACGGGGCTTTGAGGTGTAGATTGCAACCGATTCAACAGGTGACCACCAAGCAGGATCTTGTGCTTTCTCCTCACTGCTGACTATTGTGAAGCCACATCCCTTGGTCACGACTGAGACACACCGGCACCATCAACCAGTGCCACATCAGCACAAGTTCAGGGAGGCTTTTGACTGTGTTTATTTTGACTGTCTGGACTGACACCCAGCGTGATGTGGGAGACGCTGAAAGAGGTGGTCATCATAATAAGACCTAGATGTTAATAACAACAAATCCTGGAGGACACAAAAAAAACAGCCAGAGGTTATTAAAGGCATCTATCATGTCTTTTGGGCTGGTAGTCGTTAAGTCACCATCCCTCTCTCCTCCTCTCGCAATTGATAATGACTCCTCTGTTGAACGTGAAACCAAAGCCATGGCGACCAAACTTTATTCTCTTTTCTCCTTCTCCATTTCTCTCCCACACAGCTTTCTCTCGTGTTGTAGTCCCTTTGTTTTCACACATACAAAACCCTAAGGCAGACTTTCAAAGACTGCAATTTCCTACTATTCCTTCGAAAAGGAAGGCCAAGCCTAAAGTGGCTTCACGCTCTGAACAACTCTGAAGGAAGGCAGGACTCTTCCTTCCAATATCAACACAACGTACCTGGCCTTGAGTGCACCTCAAAGCTTTTGGTCTGCTCATGGGCTTATTTTACAGCACAGTCAGTGTGCACTGATGAAAAAAAAATCGCCTATAGTTACATAAAGAAAGGAATGCTGTAAAAGCTCGAAGGCCGTGACAACTTGATGAGCCATCAAGACTGACTGTGAACAACTAGAAACATGGAGAGAAAAGGCTCACATCACAGAGCTCGGTTATATGGAGTCATGGATATATGGACAAAAACAAACTGACTCTCCAAAGAAAACTGTGAGTAATCCTTGGACAGAGTATTGTTTGGGCATGCACA